TGTGTGTGTGTGTGTGTGTGTGTGTGTGTGTGTGTGTGTGTGTGTGTTCAGGTGAGGAAGAAGGATCCCTCCAGACTGGTGTTCATAGACAACGCCGGCAGACCACAGCAGTCCACCAACAACCTCAACTTCCGGCTGGTTGAAGGCATTGATGAGTGAGTACAAAATGCTGCTTCAAAGCAGGAAAGATGCAAATTTGAACTATATTTATATATTTCTTTGCTCCATTCTGTGCTCGATGTCCCACAGAGTCAGGAGCTCTTTCTTGGGGCTCACAGCAGGCACAAACACTGATGAGAGGAAATGTTTTCAGGAGAAAATAAAACACATCCAAACAACATATTTCCCCGGTGAACAGCTTTCAACTCAGCAGCGCAGAAACGTCCTCTGGAAAGTCGTTAGGGCTTGTTTCAGTGTCTGTCTGATTAGATTAGTGAGCATTCAATTAGCCTGCTGTTCAACATGCTGAAAGAATCGGGTCTGATACAATTCCCCCCTTTGTCTGTCACTTAGGATTACTGAGCCGCTCCATAAAATGCTCTTAGATATCTTAAGCCTGGACGTGAGACTGAATGCATATAGATTATTCAGGTCTTCTATTGTTTCCCCATCGCTGCAAAATAAAAGGAAAAGTTGGTTATTTTCCAGTGTACTTTTATAAACTTTGCTCAAGTATTTGTTTTAGATTTGATACATTGCTGGCAATCCAGCCCTGGTCTCATTCCCATACTACGAATCTGCATCGTCAATTACGCTTTGATGGAGAACATGAATCTCCCAATTTACGTTTGTATGTGACGTATCACAAACTGTTTAATCAAGGTCCGTGAAGGGAGGAGGAAGGGTCCAACATGGGACTTTCACCGAGGAGACCTCTGTTCATGTCCTGTGCTAAACCAAAAGTGATGTATTTTTACTTATTTTAACACAAAACATGACCTTTTACTGTACCTAACCAAATAGCTTAACCCTATATTGGTGACATACACGTGTTTAGAATTGTTGAAACGCATTTTTTGATTCTGAAACATTCACTTTCTTTTTTTTGTAAACTTACAATGCCAAATATTTTATTCTGGGGACTTGGTTGTGCATTCCCAGTTACTGTACATCAGTGGTACTCAACTTGCAGCAAGGATACAGGGTGGGGACTGACCATTTTATAATTCACAATAAAAAGTTAGTTGTATGGGAATTTAATTTAGTAGGAAACAGGGTTGAGTGGACACTGGATCAGGTTGCAAGAAAAACAATCGGTGCAATACTCTTATATTGAGGTGTACAGAGAACATTACCGCCTCTAGAAACTTCCAGGAAGGGTTTACGCATTTGTTTTGAAGCCACAACACATCAAATACGATGCTGTTCTGTCGTCAGGTTTCCAGAGAGAGCGGTGACGGTGCTCCAGTCAGGCTGTCTCGAGAGTCTTCTTCTACGCTCCCTTTACACGGACAGGGAATTCTGGGACAGCCAAGGCGGGGCCAGCGGTCTCAGGCCTCTCATCCGCACTCTGGAGCACAGAGGGAAGATTCTCCTCCGGCACATCAGGGACATGAAACTGCAGCTCAAGAGGGACCTGTGACTGAGCTAGCTGAACCCAACAAGTTGACCACATAATTCAGGTTAATCACAGCTGCAATGGTTCCGCTAGTTCGGGAGCACTGCAGACACGCTGGATCTTCAAAACAAACACCCTTTTTTTTAAGGCAAGGCAAGTTTATTTGTATAGCACATTTCAACAACAAGGCAATTCAAAGTGCTTCACATAAAACCATTAAAAGCATCAGAATGTAAGGCAAAAGAAAAGGGGTTACAATGAATACAACATCCACAACCTCAGGGTCCATGGAGCAATCTATTATAACCTAACAGTGGTGATATTATAACTGTATGTGTAAGTCCAACTTAAATCCAAAAAGTCATTCAGTTTGCAGTCAAACTTCACTTCACAAGTGATTTTCAAAATAATTATTAATATTTGGTTTACTTAAAAGTGATCAATTGGAAATTCCAAGCGTGACCATGATTGAGAGATTGCCTCCACACCGCCCTCAACATGACGACAGCTGAGCCGACGGCTAGAAGCTAACGGTGCTAGCAGCTATCGGTGCTAGAAGCTAACGGTGCTTACGGCGCGAACAGTGCAAACAAGGGCAACAGTGCAGACAGAGCTAACAGTGTTTACCTGAGGGGGAGTTATGCTCTGAATTTCAAATTGTGTGGAGAAGAAGAGAGTGCTCCTTCAGCCTCCAAGTCTCTGAGCGTGAGGGTCAGTTTGCATGTCGGATTGGCAGCTAAGCTGGCGAAGGCACCAAGCCGCCATGTAAAAGCTAGCTGCTAGCTTAAGCTCACAAGCCAAACACACACACTGTTCTGTTAGCAGAACGACGACCAAACAGGCTCCCTGACCATGATTACTGTTCTATGCAAATATGACCAAACGCCGTCATAAAACAAAAAATTAAATGTATAATGCATTATTATTATTATTATTAATCCTTTTGGGATGATTTTGTCTTTTTTGTTCAAAAGAGAGAACAGGATTTAAAGACGTTCCACTGAGGTGCTCGTTATTACAGGTTTCTAAGTTGTAACATATGAATTAATCATTCACTAATGATTTTATAGATCACTTCCGAGCCATTAATAATGGGTTGGAAAAAAGCTCTCTACTTGGTGTCATCAAGAGTCAAATAATTAATAAATGTTAATTTACCTTTTATTATAGTCATAGTTAAGTTATGAATAAGCAGCTCTAATAACAATGAAGACGCAGCTCTTTGGTCCATCACAGATGTCTTCATCATGAACAACTGTCCTGCTGCAACCCAAACGCTGTCCTTATTAAGGGCTCATAACTGCTCTATGAGGCATTAATTAACCATTAATAAAGCCTTTACTAACAACGTAATAGACTCCTCACAAAGGATGCTTTTATTAGAAAGCGATCTGATCCGTACTGCCATCAAAGCGTGCACAGAGGACGAAATGATTCTGCTCCTGGAGAAGAGTCAAACAAACCTCAAGGTAACGCAAGAAGCATCGGCAATCACACGCAGGCTCTCACGTCCAAAGTGTGTAACTCGTGCTAATTGTTTGATTATCAGCAGCACACAAATATGTCCCCGAAGCTCAGTCTGTTGACAGGGGACGCTTGTCACTCCGAATGTTTTTTCATCCAGTCCGTCTGCGCTCACTAATGTCTCTCCAAGTGTCCCCTCATGGGAGGTAAATGTGAGACTAATTATTCCCCCGCTTCTCCTCGCAGCCAAGTGAGCTGATTTTTTTTTTCCCCTAAACAATTTAGTGGAAAGAAGCAAAGTCTATTTTCTTTTCTATTTAAATATTTTACAGAGAGCAAGCGGCAGATTAAATGATTGATTCGGATGTCTGTTTTTATGAGATAAGCTTCTTTGCTTCTAATCGAGGGATTAAAAATGTCTGTCAGCAAATAGCTTCTGGACTGGATCCTGGAAGCCTTTTGATGAAAATAGACCAAATATAGATACATTACTTTTTATGGCATTTTTTTTCGTTTTTTTCAAGTGCCTGTCCTTGCACATTGTTGAAATGCACAGCGGCGTACTGAAGCTGAAAATTGGATAAAACTCAAGTGTCATTAAGGAAGAACGAGAGCTGAGGCTCTTCAGTCTGAGCGACACGTTTCTAGAGCTGAACTGTCACAAAACCGTCTTCTGGTATTTGGGTCTGGTGAAGAGCACAGATGATATCACTTGGAGCTGTTTTATGCCCGCTCTGAATTAACATTCCAGTCGTAACTTTGTGGATTAATGACATTTTCCATGGCTCGCTCTTTTCATCACTGAATAAATGGCTCTAATGAGAAATGGCTGAAACGTGTGATCCCGTCTTTATCCCCACTTTATCTCTCTTACATTGAATGTTTTGCTTCCCCCCCATGCGTCAAACCACCAAAAGTGAGCTGGCTGCCACTGGTTTTTAGATAACATTCATTTCTTGGCCATATATTTTGGTCGAGCTCATTTAAGCCCCATCTGGGTTACATTGGATTAAATGACAGCCATACAAAGCCTGCTGCACTGCTACAGGACAGTGGTTCAAAACAGCAGGATTGTGTTTGGAAATCTAGAAAAGAAAGCAACCGATATTTGAGGGAATGATTGCAACGTGGATGAGACGATGACCAATAACAAAGAAACACATGGATTGGCTGATTTGAAACGCTGGACCTCAGGAAACCCCTTCACATGATGTCAGACGCAGGGTGGCAGCCAACACGGTGCAATAACAAAAGGTCATGAATCCTAGTTCCTTCACTGCAACTTCACCCCCCTCTCAAATATTTAGAGTGATAACAAAATAGTCTGCAACATGTAATTCATTCAAAGAATTACGTCACTTTGTTTTTGGCAAAAAAAATCAAACAAAAAAAGCCGCATTCTTTGCAAGTCTTGATTAAAATATTACTTTTAACGATTGGTCAACTGTCAAGATGGTTGCAAAAATGTTTTTCTGTGGAACGACAAAGCGATTAGTCGGCTAATCGCTGCAGCTCTATTGCATGACGAGTGGAAAGTTGAACGTTGTGGCCGTTACATACCCCGCTGCAGTCCATATGTCTGTTTCTTTATGTTTCTTTAATGGATTGCTGTCTTTTGAATTTCTCTGTTGAATGTCTGTTTTGTATCATTTCAGAAAATGTGCAATAAAACTTCATTGAAAAATAGATATTTTGTATAGGATCATTTACAGTGGGTAAAAAAGCATCCAATGCTATCAATGAAATGAACTACATGCTGCAGGTTATTGTTATTCTTCAGGTATAGAAAGTAGAACGTAGCTCTAAATCAAATAAAGCGTTTACAATATAATGCCATTCAAATAGCAAGTTTAGCTAAAGAACACCAGAAGGCTGACGTTTCTCTGACTCCATGTTGGGTCAGTGGTGGTCCTCCATTATTTTCTACACTAACCATTTTCTGTGGTTGCCATGGTCACACAGTAAGCCAGGGTGGCAAGTAAAGAAAAGTCCATTGTTAACTCCGACAGCTGCCGAAAAATAATTGTGCACATGCACAGCAGCTAACTGACAGTTAAGTTAGGAGAAGAAGAAAAAACACACAACAAAAGAGATTGGGCTGTCAATCCTCTCCGAGTGTATTTGATATTTTTGTGTAAAAATTAATGGAGATCCCTGAGCCACCAGGGAGGAAGAGGAGGAGGAGGAGGAAGAGGAAGAGGAGGATTAGGGCATTTCCAATGCAATTCAATTCTTCTACGAGCAATCAGGGATGCAAAAAGCTGAAGCATCAGCTGTTTATTTCCATAAGGCCCAGGAGCTCAGAGCTGATTCCAAAAACAGCAATGAGAACGAACAAGAAAAGAACAGAGTGTGTCTGATGGGGCTTAGACATCGAGCATCATTCATAGCTAAACATTTCAACATTGCTGCCTCAGTCATCTCAGTCCTATGCACAACTTTGAACCGGATTGGAAGTGGAGTTCAGTTCACCCCGTATCCTCCCACCAATCCCCGTGCCAGCTTCCTCCCAAGCTGGATGGAGCCAGAACACCATGCAGAAGACAAGATGAGATTATATATCTTATATATCTTATATATTATAAAACCTGATACAAGCCTCCTCAGAGGGAGACGTAGCTGTTTTAAGATGACTGATTGTTCCGTGATAATTGGTTTGATCTGCAGAGATCATGTGTGGGGGACGGGTCAGGCTGGCGAGCCAGAGTTTTAATAAGTGGTTTAACATTGCTGGTGAGTAAACTATCTTTGGTTCATTTTCCTTTTCAGTTACAGAGAAATAGTTGCCTGAGTTAAGGAATTACAGAGGGAGCCATATTCCATTGAACCTAAGTGATCAGAAAACGTATCTGAAGTCCAGCACAAGGGTACATCAGGCCTTCTTTACCTTTGGAAAGATGTGAGTGTGTGCGAGGAAGCCACTTACTGCGAATGGTGGCGCAGATGTCATGATCTTGATTTTTCTTTAGTCTGTTTCCTGTTTTATTTTTGAAGTCCTCTGCTCTTGTGTTCCGTGTTTGTTTGACTTCCTGTCTTTGTGTTTTTCCCCCTCCTTTTCTCTGTGGATCACCTGTGTTAGATTAGTCTCGTCAGCCTCGCTCTGTTCCCTTTTCTTTCTTCCACCAATCAGCTTTCAGCCTGCCCTCGTGTCCCCCCTGTGTCTTGTTCTCTGATTAGTTTCTTGTGTATTTATAGTCCCGTCTTTTAACTGTCAGTTGTCGGTTTGTCTGCTGTGTCTCCCTTTGTTCTACTTATCCCGGTGTACCTGATGCTGTTTTATTTCATTTTGCTAATTTTTGGACTTTGGATTTTCTCTTAATTCTCTTTTGGATTTTGGCAGCGTATGGCCTTTTTGTTTGATTGGTTCACTTGTGGTTCTTCTGACCTCTTGCGTAAGTTTCGACCTTAAAGTGGTTGACGGAGCAGACGTGGCGTGCATTTTATTTTCAGCGTCTTAGATGTACCAGGCTTTAAAGTTACTCCAATGTAAACTCATCCATTGTTGGATGCTCCGAGCAACAAAGTCTGCATAGCGAGGAGGTCGGGGTGGACGGACAGGACTTTGACCCAGGAGACCACTGTTTGTGTCCCACGTGAAACCAACAGTTAACATTGACTTATATTCAGTTACTTACTTAAGTTACGTAGCTTTATTTGAACCCAAACCACAATCTTTTACTAAACCTAACCACATCGCTTCAATGCCAAAACCTAAGTGACGCCAAGTGGTTCTGAAGTGTCCGTATGTGATGAGAGCGGGTTGGAAGTCCACAAGCATCAAAATCCATTCAACCTTTATTTCATCAACATGTAATACTTGAATTATTTCTTTACAGGGCTTTTATAAAGACAATAAAGTAGTCCAGGAATATGAGAGATGAGTTTACGGTTAACTATAATTCCTCCTCACCATTGCGGAGGTTGAGTTATGGCGTCTACGTCCTCGGGCGTTTCGGAGAAAACCGCAACGAACAGGTTGAGCACAGGAGCCTCGCGCGATTATAACCAATGCTTGAGAGGTCACACCCTGGGCTTTTGCCCTGTGTGTTAGTAAATAGTCCTCAAATTCTGTTTACGTTGTGCTACTAGCCGGGAGCAGAGAAGTTATTACATCCACGGTACAGGTTTCATACAGGCGGCAACCTCCGGTTCCACAGAGTGAAGCCAATGCGGAAGTGTTTTAAAACTTGCATTCTCTCTACTGACCATCAGGGGGCGACTCCTCTGGTTGTATAGAAGTCTATGAGAAAATGACTCTACTTCTCACTTGATTTATTACCTCAGTAAACATTGTAAACATGAGTTTATGGTCTCAATTAAAGGCCATATGAGCGTGGAGGGCGGCACAGTCCTGTTGGTCTGATACATACTGTATATACAAAAACTATTTGTGAACTTTACACCGTATGGGACATAGACATAAATTAAGTCTATTTAAGTGTTCATACGGAGAAATTGATGCACCTCAAATAAAATGATCCTCGTATTTACATACATTTTACGTTTTCAGCCCAAAATGGCAGCAAACCCTACCGCAGTGCCATCTAGCAGCGGCCGTCTTCCTCTTTTTGTCTCCTCTAGGATTACACAAACTCAATATTGTTATGCAGAGAAGGGCACATCATGCAATGGGTAAATCAATGGAAGTGTACGTGAAGCAGCTCCATTTTTTTATTATGTGGATTGTACACACTTCTCACTCAACCAAGCGTGTGCCGCTGTCATCAATTTAAACTGAAGTGTCTCAGAGGGAAACGGTGTCTGATGTGCAGCACTGCGTCTACTGCTGAAAGACCACATTAGCCTTGTTCCTGTTTGCACTTCCATATGACTATATGTCTCTCATTCAGGCTCAAAACACAATTTAATATGTGCGTGTGTGTGTGTGTGTGAGAGAGAGAGGAGCGATGTGAACGTAAAAGCGGCCGGTCACCCATGACTCATCAGTAATGGCTATTGCAGCAGTATGGTGAAGGTCATTATCGGAGCAATGAAGATGGACAATAACAAGATGTATACCGGTCTGCTGTTAATACCTTGAGGCCCATGACGTGGATATGTGAGTCACAGTCATGCTCTCTGGGAGAAATAGGACAAACAGGAAACAAGGACATTTATTCCTCCCTTATTAGGGATGTATCAGATTTTACATTAGCTTAACTATCTGCTGACTGTATATAAGAAGTGGAAATGGTTTGTGGACTGCCGTTTTGAAGCCTTGAGTTCGACGCTTTCGCCGTCGCCATCTTGGATTACAGCTGTCCCAATGTTGTTTTTTTTGCCGTCAATGAACAGAAGTTACCATATTTAGAATGCGGACGAGTGACGTATACGTCTCTGGTAGCGGCAACGACCTGTCAATCACAGTAGCCCCGCCCTAAAGCATACCCTGCTTAATGGTCTGTTTGACTCTAAATGGACCATAATTTACTAAATGAACATCATGCTGTGTTGAAGAAGACTTGAAACTAGAGATTGAGACCATAAACTCATGTTTACAATGTTTACTGAGGTAATAAATCAAGAGAGAAGTAGAGTCATTTTCTCATAGACTTCTATACAACCAGAGGAGTCGCCCCCTGCTGGTCAGTAGAGAGAATGCAGGTTTTAAGACTTCCGCATCGGCTTCACTCACCAGAACTCATGGTTGTCGCCTGATGCTATCACAGGACTCACATTTATCTAAAGTAACTTCCAAGTTCATGACTGTTCAAGGCCCATGTATAAAATCAAACAATGGTTGAAAGTAAATATTGTAAATGACTCCTGTGTGACTACAGTTCCTGGACTCCGTCAGCTTGCTATGAGAAAATGTGACTTTTTAAATTGAATGGGTGAAAAATTTGAAAGCGTGATTGCAATGGAAAATGCGTTGGTTCTTGTACTTGCTAATTCCACAGTATGACACTATTACCACAGTTCATGTAAAAGAATGGAGCGGCTCAGTCATCCTCTCTCTGATTGTTGCCGCAGGCCGCCGGCGATTGAAAGAATATTTACACATTCTCTAGGTCAATGCCTCGAGTCTCTGCTCTTCTTTTACACCCTGATTTCTGCTCCTCTTTTCTTCCCTTATCTGTTTCCCTTTCAGTCGTTCTGAGCTCGACATTTGTAGCGCTAAGCCCTGATTTTGAATGCGACAGCTCCTCTGTGATGTGATGGAACACTTGCTAACAAGTTTTGATTAACAGGCTTGAACAGGATGTGTCCTTATCTGTCTGTTACAGTGCTATCAATGAAAAAGGCTGATGAAGTCCTGTCGCCAGGAACAAATGTTGGCATTGTACGTTTCTGGAAACCATGGAAATTATGAGTTTTTTTTCTTTGTTATGTGCACATTTTTGCATTCGGCAGAGCAAAGTGAGACATTACAATGAGCAATGTGAAGTAGTAAAAAGAGCTAAACAGTCCACTCAGGGCAGGTGGATGGGTCAAACGTCCAAAGTAAACATTGAGTTTACACTTGTGACATAATGTTACGTAAGAGCTCAGGGCGTCTGTTATTTATTCATGATTTTTACATTACATTGGTTCGTTATGTTGTTTTGTTACGTTGTCTCGTTACGTCGTTTTAACACATGAACCACGTTTAACCAATAGTTTTACAAAGTTAACCACGTGGTGTTCGGTGTTTCTTTAAGCGTGATACGAGACTCTTATGAAACGTACTCTCTTTCTGGCGACCCACTTTTAAAAAATGACAAACCATCGGGACCCAAGTCACAATAGTCCTTATTTATAAATCCTGAGAGTGAATTTGAGCAGAATATGAGGCTCATATTGATCTAATTGGTTGTGATTTATGAGGGGAAGATTGTTGATGATCACTGTTGTTTTTTTCTGCTTGGGTAACTTTTGGAATGGATCACACGTTTTATAAATGACAACCCTGATCACGACCATTATTCACGTCTTCATAGATTATAGCACGGCCCTTTGCTGCCTTATCTTGGATTATATGTAC